TGGCTGCTGCATTTTGTGCTTACAAAGAAAGGACCAACTATTTTATTTGTCTCAACAGGTAATTGCATAAAAATTCTTAAAGGAATCACAAATCTAAACTCTTATATATGAAAAAGAATCAGTCATCTCTACTTTAATTCCTCAGGGTACATACCAACTTATCAACAGTGTTTTAGTAAATCATATCAAGAAGCTGAGAGCAAAGATGTGTATAAGAAATTAATCATTGCCTTTGTTCACCAACCCATCCTAGCAAGAAAAGCATGTAGCCAGGCTACCATTGTTCTTGTTTCCTGACCTCAATGAGTCCCTTCTTCAGCTATTAAAAGCATGCCTTCAAGTTGTTTTTCTAGATATCTTAACACAAAGCCATCAACAAAAACAACTTAACCTACCCTTAAGTCATTATTTAAAGATTTTTTTTAGCTATGATGTACACCAAAACCTATGAACATATCTCCTAACATTAACATTAAAGGAATGTTAGCTGACTTAGCTTCTGGGACTCAATTGTTTCTCTTAATCATTCATTAACCTAAGTCACAGTCGATAGGGCTCCTTAAGAAAAACTAACTGTGTGACATTTCCTTGTACTTATTTTATATTCCCTGCAATCCCTATATATCCGGTGTAGGCACAATACTTTAAACAGTACAGCTTAAGAGGAAATCATTTTCATAAAAATTCACAAGTAAAAATGCCCAGTAGAATAGGATATTTCCATGAGATAATCACAATACATTAAAGGCAATGGAGATCTCCCCATGCCAGATACCAGAGCAAAGTGGCAGGGGCAAGCATTTAAAAGCACAGCAGTAGCAAGAGACATTCAAGGGCCAATGACCTCCAAGGCTTGCCTATCTGAGTTTTATCCATCAGAACTTTGCTTCCTGGTAGGTCAACCTCCCAAACTTCAATTGCCATCTGCTGCTCCTCTGGAATGGCCACCAGCAGGCATGTCAGAATTCCTAAAGCTGAACCTTGTAGATAGAAATCTGGTCTTGATCACTTTTACAACACATATTCAGCTACATTATATGATTTTAGTTTCTAATGTAATGAGCACTGAATTTAATATTCATTAAAATGTTTATGTAATAGCTTTCATATTATATTTCTCTCATCCCTTTATATATTAGTTATTACTAATATAATAATTTCCTTTTGAACTTGCACATTCTATGGTCCTATGTCTCTGCTACCCAAGAATTTGAATTTAAAAGTCCAAAATTGATATTCTAATTATTCTTGTTTATAAAACTGTATCAAAACTTTTGGTTAAGAATAGGTAAAATGAAGTCTTAATTCAGAAGTAAGTAGTACTTTAACAAATTTAGATTTAGCTTATGACTTTTATTAAATTCTGTAGAAAGGGATAATTATAAATAAACTACATTAATTAAGCTATGCTATACCATTTACCATAAAAGAAATTGTTGATTAGGTGTAAAATAAATCAAACATTACACGTAAATATTTCATGCCATATATTTTTCTAATATGGCAGAAATTTGTCCCTAAAAGATATTAGGGAGACAGGTGGGATGAATCAAAGGGTAAAGGTGCTTGTTTACCTGGATTGACCACCTGAGTTCAATCCCTAGAGACCCTGAAAATGTAAAAAATCAAAATGAGAAAAATCAATCCAAAAAGCTGTCCCCTGGCCTCCAAATGTGTGCTCTGGCATATGTACACCCATATAAAAATCATCATCAGTCACACACAAACACACACTAATTTATTCTTAATTGAATTAAGGAACTTTCAAATAATGACAAAATTTCAGTAACTGGTAGCATATATTCCTTTGCATAAAATTTTCACATATATACTCATCCACCAATATGAGTAATTATTAAAAACAAAACCCGTGATCCAATGAACATGTAAAATGCTAATTTTGAAGGATATTTAATATCTGTTTCATAGTTTGTGACATCACCAGGTTGTCTATTTTGGCTCCTATGATAAAATAATGAGACCAACTCACGTTTACAACTTCCTAAAACCTAAAAACACAGAACATTAATATTTTTTCCTTTAAAAACCTTTTCTTTATTCTTGAGAATTTCATACATATTGAGTAGGATCATGTGTGAACCCCATTCCACAGTTCAATTGTCCCATATCCTTCACAACTCCATCAACATATAACCCTTGAATCCTTGGTACATAGAAGATACATTGAATATACATAATTTACTCAAAGCAAAAAATATAGATTAAAGATGATTATTTAATCCATATTTATGCCTGTCTGGCTGACCAGCAGGTAGGACGGAGGCAGCACCAATCCAGCCAGTCTCTCCCTGGGGCTGAGCGGGATGGTGAGTGTTGATGGCCCAGACCTCCTCTGTCTGCCAGAGAAAAGCACACTGAGCTGGGAGTCTTGTCAAAGCAGGAACTCATTTTATAGCACCAGGAGTGGACTTATATAGGTTGGGGTGATGGGGCTGGGGGGATGGGGTGAGGATAGTGGGCCAAGAGATGATGTCATCTCAGAGGCCATTCTAGGTCAGATAGAGCTGAGTCACTTGTATGCAGAAGTCATTTCCAAAGAAAGGTAACCAAACTTGAGCTAGTTACACTGGGCCTCACACCCAGGCCTTATGGGGCCCAACACATGCCGTGGATGAATGAAGTGCATAAAATGTTTTATGAGATGTTTCTTTCATATGATGAACTTGTCTCTAAAAATTTTAGAAAAGCCCTACATAAATGGCATGTATTATGTATTATATGTTATACTTCAATGTTAGCTAATTTCTCAAATAATAGAAAGAAATACACAAATTGTTACCAATAATAGAACCATAATTACTTTTAGCATTATACTGAAATTGGGGAGACAGAACAGTAAGTAAAGCACTTATTGTGTAAACAGGAAAACCAAAGTTCAACTCTCCAGCACTCACACAAATGCTGGACTATTGTGGTGACCTGCCTGTAATCTCAGCCCTCAGGAGGCAGAGACCAGTGATCCTTGCAGCACCCTGGCTACTTATTAATTTAGCTGAAATTGTGACTCAGGTTGAAGTTGAGAGATAGAGAAAGATACCAGATGTCAACCTTAGACCTTAATACACAAATTCATACAGGTACACACAAACACACACACACACACACACACACACACAAACACACACACGTGTCTATGTACACAAATATGGATGCATACACTGCACTATACACATGCAAAAAATAGCTAAACATAGGCTTTCAGTTTATACTCTGGCATGTACATAGTCTGAAAGAATAAACAAAACATTCACAATTTCTCTTAAAGGTATCATAGAACTGTTGTCAAAGACTAACTTGTCACAAAACTGCAGATCCACACAGGCAAAGTATAAAGCAAGTGTCTTGAAGAGCTGGAAGATGGCTTAGGTTGATAGTGCCTACCTTGTGTGATGGTTAATTTTGATCGTCTACTTGGTGGGTTAAAAATCACCACAAACAAAACGACAGTACCCCTTCTCACCAAAACAGGGCTAGTATCATTTCATGTGTTGAGATATCCAACACAAAATGAATAGAGGGAAGCAACCTGAGCACAGGCTTCTCGCCAATATCTCTTGGATCTTTAAGCTAAGAAAGTAAACCTGTCCTTAATATGTCTTTATCAAACATTTTGCCTCAGAAACCATTAAATGCATGTAAACCTGATGATTTGAATTCAGATTCCCATCACACACAAAAGTGTTGTGTTGTACCCAATGCCAGCATCTGTAATTCTGGTCCTAGAAGATAAAGATAGGTGATTTCCTAGGGCTTGATAATTGGCAAGTCTAGATGATCCTGAGTTTGAGGTTTATTGAGAGATCCCACTGCAAAAAAATAGAATATAAAGGGGGTTAGGGAAGCAGCTGATGTTCACTTCTGCTATTTATCCTCCCATCAACAGACATGTATTGCATTCATACAGACACTTTATACACAGGAACACATGGACAGAGAGAGAGAGAGAGAGAGAGAGAGAGAGAGAGAGAGAGAGAGAGAGAAAGAGAGAGAGAGAGAAGACCGAGCCAGAAACAGAGAGAGAATACACAAAAATTTAAAGAAGTAACCATCTTGAAATACATTCAAAGATCTCAGTTTTTTTTATCAGGGCTTTCCTTCAAGGGGAATTATTTTCTCACATAGCAAAAACACAGATTTTACAAAAATGAACTCAATTTGAAGAAACCCAGTTATATCTTAAGCCAGTTTATCCTGTATCTTAGGCAAAGAGAAATAGCCAATTCTGGCTCACTAAAAGAAAAGATTTAATCATAAGACTACATAGTTCTTCATCACATACAGATAAATTCCTAGAGAACCATGGGCACATATTCTGTTCACAGCCATAAAGAATATTTGAATTCAGAGAGTACTGTAATAGGAGAACACTAGACAGTTACAACAAACAGGAAAGACACAATGACATCTAGCTATTTAAACAAATACTCTTGTTGAAGTCTTATTTTTTTATTGTATTCAGAACAAAATAATTTTCAACAATAATAAAAATATGAGCCACGCTGAAAGATAAAACATTGTGTAAAATATTCACTCATACTGGACTTCAAAGTGGCTGAGATTTTGAATGCTCAGACTTGAAATTGAATCTACCCATGATGACCAAGCTAAAGAATACGAAAAAGTAGAAAGCATGCCAGAAGACATTGGTAACATAAAAAAGAGAAGGGAAGTGAAAGTGGAATAAAAGAAAATAAGCTTTGTCAGTAGAAACTTTCCAAACTGAAATATAAAAGAAAATAAAAGTGAGAGATCACAGAACAGACTGTTTAAGAATGATGGGGCAATTATAAAGGTCTAAAGCCATAAAATGAACATTCAGAAGGAAAAGAGAGAAAAAGCCAGGAAAAATATCTAAGTAATAATGTTTGAGAAATGTTTAGAACTAACGCCAAACGCTAAATCACAAATAGCATGAGCTCAAAGTACACTATGAAGACTGAAAAAGATCCATGTCTCAGTATATCATTTTCAACCTGCAGAAAATCAAAGAAAAGAAAGAACATTGGAAGACATTGGGAAAACAAATGGACACCATATCTACAGAAGAAAAGGGACAAGAATTACCTTGAACTTTTATTGAATACTCACAAAGTCCAGAAGAGAAAGAAGTGGGATATTTAAAGGTAAGTGCTGGAAAGAAAATATCTTCAACACAGAATTATGTATCCAGTGAAATATTCTCCAAATGTTAAATGGAATACATGTTGATTTTCACATAAAAAATAAAGAAAAGATGCAACCACTAAGCATGCTGTGCAAGAAATGTTAAAACAAATCAATGAAAAAGAAAATGATAGAGGTGTTCTGCTTGGATCATCTTCCTAAGGAAGGTGTAATTGCTAAATAAATGAATGTCAGATAAAATGCATTTAAAGTTTATTTGATCTTATATGCAAAAGTTTGAACCAAGTAGCAAGACATGAAGTTTATGATTATAGAGCATGGAGTAGCAAATTGAATGTCAGCATTTTCTGGGACAGAAAAGCATAGTTTGGAAAGTTTTCATAAAGTACTTAATTTTAGTAATGAAGAGATTTTGATATTTAAAGGAAACTTTGATTAGTTGTAAGCATATATATATTTCAACATCCAGGATGACTATTTGTGGTGATATTGTGTTCCCAAAAGTATTGTGCACCCTAATAAACTTATCTGGGGTCAGAGGACAGAACAGCCACGAGATACAGAGGCCAGAAAATGGTGGCACACACGCCTTTAATCCTATCATTTGGGAGGCAGAGATCCATTTGGATCTCTGTGAGCTTAAAGCCACACTGTAAACAGCCAGGCATGGTGACTCATGCCTTTAATCCCAAGAAGTGAGCCTTTAATCCCAGGAAGTGAAGGCAGAAAGCAGAAAGGTATATAAGGTGTGAAAACCAGGAACTAGGCTGGTTAAGCTTTTAGGCTTTTGAGTAGCAGTTCAGTTGAGATCCATTTGGATGAGGACACAGAAGCTTCCAGTCTGAGGAAACAGGATCAGCTGAGGAACTGGCAAGATGAGGAAGCTGTGCCTTGTTCTGCTTCTCTGATCTTCCAGCATTGACCCCAATATCTGGCTCCAGGTTCGTTTTTTGTTGATAAGAACTTTTAAGATTCATGCAACAACAATTAAAATACTTTGAAAACTATAATTGTCATAGCACATGAAGAAGGAAAACAAAACTTACAAAAAATTATAAAAGATAGCAAATATTATTATCAACTGAAGAAAACAAGAAGAAAAATAAGAGATTAGTAAATGAGCATTAAATTGTCAACATATGAAGTCTGTTGATCCAATTATACGAATAATTAAAACACACAAAGACAGAAGATGTACTGAATGAAAAGCGAGGCTCAACATTGTCTTATCTACCAGAAAAACACAGGCAAGAAAACTGAAGGGATGAACAAGTACTTGCTTTGTTAACACACCTTGAAGGAAATGTAGCAAAACAAATTCAGAAAATACGAAAATAAAGGTGGAAGAAAAATGTTCAGGAACATGGAGGAGCACTGAGTAAATGATTAATGTACCAATTTTTCAAAAATGCACAACAGTTATAATGTGTGTGAGCATCATGAATTAAGGTAGGAGTGTTAGTATCGACCTCATGGACACTGAAATGAAAATAAATGTCCAGAGTATAAAATTTTATCTTTACTGACCAATTCTTTAAAAACTACAATCTACTAACTCTCAGAAGATAAGACAGAGGTAAACTTATTGGATGTATATAGACTAAGAAAATATAATCAACAATTAATGACTTCCTGATATAGAGAACTTGAGGAAATATTATAAACATTCAGATTCACAAATAAATTACAAATTAACAAGCAAGTTTCTTAATTCTTTACAGATTTCTCCAAAATTATAAACGTAAGTGCTAGCCGCTGACACATTTGATGAAATCAGGCTTGTTTTAATACAGAAACCAAAGTTAGAATACCATAAACTAGCCACAAATGCTTGAACATACATGTGAAAATCTACGAAATGTTGGCACATTGAATCTCAGTGTGCAAACAAAGAATTTCACTCTAAGAATAACTGAGGATCATTCACTCTAGTCATTTGGTAAGGCTAGTTTAAGGAGAAAATCTACTAATACTTATCATGAACACTAGCTAAGAAGGAAACTGAAAGATTCCTACCAGCAGCTTCATTAAAAGCACTTGACAAAAACTAACAACTTTTAGGGTATGAACTTTCAGAAACCTAGAAAGGGATTACAGTGCTCACAATTTATGATAAAGAATGCATTTTGAAAATAAAGCATTCTTCAGAAATAACAACATAAACTACCAAGTGTTCAAAATGTAGGAATGTTACATTCATGCTATTCAATAAAAATGCCGAACAGGTGGTGTACTATGATTTCAATGACAGAGCATCACATAAGAGGCAAAGTTCTGCTGACAATAAAATTAATTGTTGATTCTGGTTTAAGAAAAACGAAAAGGCTGGTTGGAGGATCTCAGAGAATTTTGCAACACTGAACATATCCTGTATGTACTGAAATCCTTATGATTTCATTTATATTCATTTATATGTGTTTAAATTGAGAAGAACTTTTAAAAACAAAGTAGAAATATCTACTAATTTCTAGCTAATAAAATATCAATAATATTTCCTTATTTTTAACCCATGTACCATATAACACAGAATGTTTATGGTAGAAGAAATGGCAGGAGAGAAAGGGGAGTCTAGTTTTTATTGAATATATCTATAATTCTAAGTCTAATCTGTGAGTAAGCTCCATTAATTAGAAATATGAACCATTCATGATAGGCCTGATGTTTAGGAGTAGTTGATCAACATATAATGGACTACATAGATTTTTTTTTTTTTGCCTTTTTGTGTGTGTGTTAACCTGGTTAAGTTTGGTGTTTTATTTTATTGTTTTGTTTTTGTGGGTGGTTTTATTTTGTTTTCTTGGTTCTAAGGTGTTTTATTGTTATATTGGATTTTGTTTTTTGAGAAAGCGCATAAAGTTTAGTGGGTAAGGAGGGTAAGAAGATGAGGAAGCACTTAGGGGAGGGAAAGAATATGATCAAAATACATTTAAATTTAAAAATTGTTTTAAAAATATATCAAAGAAATATATAGGACACTAAAAAGATTAGAACATATTTATTCAGAAACTTCTATTATCTCTAGTCAATATGTACACTTAAACAGTTGAAACTGCTATAACAGAGCTGTGCCTGAATTTTAAGGGACTATATCTTACTGTTTATTTATATTTTTATTTTAATATATTTTTTAAAAAAAAATTTTAGCTCATTTTTTCTTTCTGAAATACAATTATAGTACTATCCCCTTCCTGCTCTTCCCTGTAGATCCCAGTTATCATCTCTCATGCCTACATGTTTTTCCTCTCTCAAGCTGATAACTCCTTTTTTTCTTTATTATTGTTATGTGTATGGGGTGTGTGTGTTTGTGGTGCTCCACCTGCTGATTCCATTTTGTTGTTTGTGTGTGAATGGTTTCAAGGCTGACTACTCTACATTGAATAACCAGCAAGGAGGTTCATCCTTGGGAGAGGCTAACTCTCCTGTCTTACAAGTCATTTTTGTCTGTATCTTTTTGTCTAGTGGTGGGAGCTGTGCAACTCTCCCAGTCTCACATTAGCATATCCATTGATACTATCATTGCTCCAGTCTTATTTGTGCAACCATCTTTAGGTGAGACTGTTTCACAACAGATTTCCTGGGATTCTGTCTCATTCAATTTTTCTGTATCCTCTTTTGTAATGTTCTTGGAGCCAAAGACATTGTAGAATATTAGTTGAAAATATGTTACATTTATTGATGCTTGACATCAGAGTGAAACATTTGTTTAATGATGTAAAGGTGTGTTGCATTCTTTCATGTTGCATTGTTTAACTCTGAAGTTGTGTTATTTTGACTGTCTAAAACACTTGATTGGTCTAATAAAAAGCTGAATGGCCAATAGAGAGGCAGTAGAAAGGATAGGCAAGACTGTCAGGCAGAGAGAATAAATAGGGGATTGAGGAGAGAAAAAAGGGGAAGGAGAGGAGAACATTGGGGGGGGGGAGTCACTCAGCTCCACAGCAAGCCACAGATTAAGAAGCAAAGAAAGGTACATAAAACAGAGGAAAATAAAAGCCCAGAGGCAAAAGGTAGATGGAATAATTTAAGAAAAGTTGGCTAGAAACAAGCCAAGCTAAGGTCGGCCATTCATAAATAAGAATAAGCTCCCATGTATTTATGTGGGAGCTGGGTCATGGGCCCCCAAAGAGCAAAAGAATAAAGAGAAAAAAACAACTGCATAAAGGTGTGGCAACTGTGATGTTTATATTTCTGTAGAAGCCAAGCTCCCATGATTTTTTGATCTCTATATTGTGTGTCTAGTTGTAGAGTCTGTGATGATCTCCATTTGTTGTAGAGTAAGACTTTTTTGATAACGGTAGTAGTAGTTACACTTATCTGTGGAAACATCCCAATTGGTGGTTATCCAATACTAATGGTCAACCCTAAAAAAATCAAAGTGCAAGTAACATTGTACAGACTAAGCAGGTTGAATTTAGGAGAATATATATATATATATGTGTGTGTGTGTGTACACATATATATATGGTTTATACTTATACATATATACATACATGTACATTGTATGTGTATATGTATGAATTAACCATGCATGTGTTTATATATACATATATAAAACGTGATTATATATATATATATATGTATATATATATATATATATA